TACCCTGACCCTCATCTTCATCAAAGAAGTCTCCTTTACTACCCTCACCCAAGCTCTCAGTACCATCTCCCTCATCCCCCTCACCCAAGCTCACAGCATCATCTCCCTTATTCCCCTCACCTAAGCTCACAACACCATCACCCTTATTCCCCTCACCTAAGCTCACAGCACCATCTCCCTTACCTCCCTCACCCAAGCTCCCAGCACCATCTCCCTTACCTCCCTCACCCAAGCTCACATCACACTCCCCTTCATTCAAATTCATTTCATAGTCACCCTTATCACCATGTTCCTGTTCTTTTTTCATTTCTCTCATCTCATCTACATACAAGTTTACTTCCCTAAATATTCTATTATCTTCCCAAATATTTCCTAAATCACGTTGAGAGCTTACTAACACAAACACATGTCCCTTATTTTGATACAGTCTCAAAGGTTTCTTTACACCTTTTCCGTGAGCAAGCTTTCTGAAATCATCAAGACATACCTTTGTATGGTCAACAAAATCAAAAAACATTGAAGAACCTCCTAGATATGCTGCATAATCGTGACCTTGGTCAAAGGCACCTTCATAATGTAGACCAACTGTGAAAAACTCACTTTGGGTTCCTACAAACTAATCGAATAGAATTTTTTGTTGATCAGCAACAAAAAGGTAAACCCTAACTTCATAAATACAATAAACAAAGTCTAATAAACAAAGTCTAACAAAACCCCAATTTCAGACTAGTTACTGAGCAGCAAAATGTTTGTGATACTAAAGAAGCAATTCAGGAGCATGTGGAAGATTTATACAACATCCTATTCACCACTGAAGGCTCTTCTGGGGGTGAGAGCATTCTTCAAGATGTGCAGCACACCATCTCAGACTCAATTAACTCAGAGCTCTTGGCCCAAGTTGAAGAAGAAGAGATAAAGCAGGCACTCTTTTCCATGAATCCTTCTAAATCCCCAGGTTCTGATGGTATGCCTGCCCTATTTTTCCAGCATTTTTGGCCTTTAATTAAGCAGGACTTGTGTGAAGCTGTTCTTAGTTTCTTCCTCTCTGGGAAAATGCTCAACTACTGGAACCACACCCTTTTAACTCTTGTTCCCAAATGTGCATCTTCCAACTACCTCTCCCAGTACAGACCTATTAGTTTATGTGCAGTAGTCTACAAACTCATTTCTAAAATTCTTGCTGGTAGACTAAGAAACTGTCTTCACAGCTGCATACATGAAGCTCAATCTGCTTTTTTACCTGGGAGGCAATTACCTGACAATGTGGTCATAGCAAATGAAGGTATCCATTTCCTAAATAGGCATCATACAGGCAAGCATTCTTTTATGGCTATAAAACTGGATATGATGAAGGCTTTCGAAAGGATTGAGTGGAAATGTATCAGAATGACTATGCTCAAAATGGGGTTTGCAGCTCAATTTGTTAATTGGATTATGTAGTGTGTGTCTACTGTTTCCTTCTCCTTCATTCTTAATGGCAGCATCAGTGGATATATTAATGCACAGAGAGGATTAAGGCAGGGGGACCCTCTGTCCCCTTACTTGTTCATCATTGTCTCTCAAGTCCTTTCTGCTATGATCACAGCGGCTGTGGAAAGGGGTATTTTCAGAGGTCTATCTTTAGCCAGAGGGGCTCCTATCCTTACACACCTTCTCTTTGCGGATGATTCTATAGTCTTCTGTAAAGCAGATGGATATCAGGCTAGAGCCATCAAATCAATCCTTGAATGGTACCAGAAATTCTCAGGACAGAAGGTTAATACTTCCAAATCTTCTATTTTCTTCAGCAAGAACACCAGCACACTAATCCAGCAACAAGTCTGCCATTTCTTTCCTGGTATTCAAGTGCAAAACTCCTCCAGATATCTAGGACTACCATTTGGCATTGGTAAGTCAAAAAAGGAAGTCTTTGGGTTTGTGACTGAGGCTGTTAGGAAAAGGGTGCTCAGCTGGAAAAACAGGTACCTATCATCTGCTGGGAAGGAGGTACTTGTAAAATCTATTCTGAACGCACTCCCACTATTTGTTATGTCATGCTTTAGACTGCCAGTTGCCATATGTAAGGAGGTGACAGGTACCATTGCAAACTTCTGGTGGAAGAAGAACAATGAGCAACACAGCGGAATCCATTGGAAGAGATGGGACTTATTGACACTAACAAAGAAGCAGGGTGGGCTTGGTTTCAAGGATTTATCCCTCTTTAATGATGCCATGTTGGTCAAGCAAATCTGGAGAGTGATAACTCAGCCACATCTCCTTATGAGTAGAATTCTTAAAAGTAAATATTTCCCTAACTCTTCCATCTTTGAAGCTACTCAGAAACAGAACTCCTGCTGGCTTTGGAGATCATGGCTAAAAGTCAGATGGATCCTAAAAGAGGGATTAACTATAGACATAAAAAATGGAGCTACTGTCCAACTGCAAGATCTCAATTGGGTCCCTGGTCTAAGAGGAAGACCTTTGCAATTCAAGAATGCAGCTGACCACAAGAAGCTCTGGGTGAAGGACCTCATGAATGCAGACCACACATGGAATGAGCAAAAAGTAAAGGAAATTTTTGTGGCACAGGACAGCTCTGAAATCCTCAAAATCAACACACTTGACCCTCTACTGGCTGACAAATGGAGATGGAGCATTGACACCAAAGGCAAATTCTCAGTCTCTTCATCCTATGCTTTCCTCTTCCTCAGAAAATTTCAATCCCTTGACATTGCAGAGGGAAGCAGCACAGCAACCAGAAACCAACAAGCAAGACACAGAAGTTGGAGCATAAGAACCAAAGGCAAAATAAAACATTTACTTTGGAAGTGCTACACCAACTCCATGCCTGTGAACTAAAACTGCAAAAAAGGGGAGTCGATGTTGATGCCACTTGCCCCTGCTGTGGAGAAGCTCCAGAGACTGTTGAGCATATTTTCCTCACATGCTCCAGAGCAAGAAAGGTGTGGAAGATGGCACCGGTCAGCTGGGGTGGAATTGAAGTGGACAATTTTCAATTCTGTGATTGGTGGGGAACAATATGCAGCTTGGACAAGTCTAAAGCCACTGAAGACAGAATCGAACTCACAACTTACATTTTATGGTGGCTTTGGAAGTCTCGAAACCTTTGGATTTTTGAGAAAAAATGGAGGCCCGAGCACAACATTGTCAAAGGCGCTTTGAAAGAATGGCAAGAAACAAAGAACAACTGCACCTGATGCTTCAACAAGCTAAGAGTCCATAACTAGGTCTATTTGATAGTTCAGTGGTTTGGCCTCTTGTTTGTATTATGGTTTGCCTTGTTTATTTTTCATTAAAGGATCCAGCTATGTCCTGCCTTTAGTGATTGGTTTGTATATGTTTAGCCTACTTCGTTTAGTAGTGCTCTCTGGTCTTTACCTTCGGCTTTAGGCTTGTATTTGCGTGGATATTGATTGTACTTGACATTATGTTCCTATTTATGAGATTTCCTATCGTTTGTCAAAAAAAAAAAAAAAGAAATTGTAAACCCTAATTTCAAAAATTATAAACCCTAATTTTAAAAACCCAAATTTTAACAATTATACTAACCATATATAGAAGGGGGAAGGTAGTCAAGCTCTTTTCGCCGCAATTTCATCTGGCAGTTGGGGACTTGAACTCCTACAGCAACTTTCTCGATCAAACTGAGATTGTCTACATCAAACTCATCATTTTTCTCCTTCATTCGTGGTTCAAATTGCTGCTCTGGTTGTGATTGACAGGTCTCCATCGCCGATTTCGATTTCTCCTTCAATGTAATTTCTAATTTCTCCTTCAATTTAGATTTAGACTTATCCTTAAAGCATATCATTTTTTTTCCTCACCATCTTCAAGCTGTGGAATATCGGGAGTTGAGAGTAGAAGGTTTTTCTTGAGTGGAAGTTGAGAAATTGCGGGTCGATTATGAGAAATTGGGAGTAGAATTTTTTTAGGGTTTTGAGAATGAGGGTCGATTATGATTCTGTCGATTAAGTTGTCATTTGGGCGGGAATAAATTTGATTCATTTCACGCCTTCTTGTATCCTTCCACGTAAAACCACAATCGTTCCACATCGGATAAAACACACGCCACGTCACGCCACGTCATTTTCTTATTCAGGGGTTGGATAAAAAAAGGACCAAAAATGATGAAATCGACAAGTTATAGGACCCAGATTGAAAGTGGTCAATGACGGAGTGGGTTTTTGGACTATGGTCAAATTATAGGACCAATTTTAAAATTTTGCCTAAGTAAGCCAATTCCAATTTCTTTAAACCCCTTCAATTTTTTTAAATAAAAACCGGCCTGAGTCAAAACTGAAAATCAGTTGAAATAGTTTGGAACTGCGTTGAACCAATCCCGAACCGCCGATTCAATAATCGACCTGGAACAGTGGGCCGATGAACCGGTCTATACCCCAATGTGGGCCAGTTCCGGGTCAGTGATTTCAAGCCTGTCGACCTGTCCGACCCGGCCCGAGCTCGTCAAATTGCTATGTCTATATGTAAAATTTATTCCGTCTTCAGATTGGCATTAAAATAGCTATTTCCTCTAAATAAATTTATGCATAATTTATATACTCTTCACGTGGAAAGCCAAGCAAGCAGGAGAATATTAACACTCACTTGGTACGTGGCTGAAAATTGGCGCATGCCACGCATACCCTAACTAACTCGCATCAAAATGGCTTTTTAAACTAACAAAAAGATATATACACCGCCATCACTATTTCTCTTTCTCTCGTCACCTTTCTGCATATTTCCCTCACACCGCCAAAACCCATTGCCTAATGTTCATCAATTTTAAGTTCCCCCGGAAAACTGAACCACAGAATATTTTTTTTATATTTTAATACAATAATTCGTACTTGTTAGTTGTTTCTATTATTGGGACAGGATAAGATTTAGACATCTGAATTTCCTTAAAAAGTGCATATATATACTTCTCTTCTTAGCACCGTGATCTTCATCACCAAGAAGAAAAAAATTAAAATAAGTATTTTATTTTTTAAATAATAATTATGGGAAGAGTGAAACTTGAGATCAAGAAAATAGAGAACACTACAAACAGGCAGGTCACTTTCTCAAAGAGAAGAAATGGGCTAATCAAGAAAGCTTATGAGCTTTCTGTGCTTTGTGATGTTGATGTCGCACTCATCATGTTCTCCCCTTCTGGCCGAGTTAGCAACTTCGCGGGACATAAAAGGTAATTAATTAAAAAGATGATCAATCTAGTCTTGTCGATTTAAGTGTTCATTTATTATTGATTAATGTAAACGATATTAATAATTTTATTTTATTTTTTTATTTTTTTTTGTAAGTATTGGAGAAATTATGGAGCGATACGTTAATCTCCCGGAGCATGAAAGAGGAAGGTAATGAGAAATAACAATTATAATCTTTGGACCAAGTTTTTCAGAAACTCCAACATGCAGTTTGCTTTTTATTTACAAGCTGTGTAAATTAGTCATATGAGCTTGTTTGGAAACAATTCTTACTCTTTAATGGATAAATAATTTAGGGTGATAAATTATAAATGGACTTATAAATTAGTTATAATTGATTCTCAAAAAATATATTCTATAGAAGTGAATTGTAGAGAATTATCTCATTTTTGTGACCCATCATTGATTTATTTATGTTGAATTCTTTTTTTTTTTCTTCTTCTAATTATCATGTGTTATGTCTCCATGCAACTACTCAAAGGATTCAAAGCCAAGAGGTAAGAAATATCCGTAAGGTCTAGTTTTTGTAATATATATAACTCCATAAATTTCTACACTGGTCTGGAAAATTAAAACGTGGCTGAGCATAAATTTGATGATATTTTTCATTTTTTTTTTAATACCGGAGTGTTCTTTATTTATCTTGTTAACAACCATTAAAACACGATGTTAATCTATATAGTTTTGAATTAATAGTTTCAAAATTTTCAGGTCTGAGATATATAAAACTTATCTTTCAGCCCGAACTGATATATTTAACGAGCCAAACTGATGTCTCCCACTATAAATGCTTGCCACCTTATTCAAATCTATTGCAGTATTTACAGAAGGCTCTTCGGAAGTTGAAATCTGAAGCAAATCCAATTTTTAAAAATTCCACCAGGTAGAAAACACCAACATATTCAATCTATTCATAGCACTACTGTTCTCATTTTGGTAATTTTCACCTACTTTTTGTTTTGTTTTCTGGTGGCGTTGCAGCCCAGTTAGCATGATTGATACTCAAGTTGAGGTGTGTGTTTCTTCGCAAAATTCAAAGATGGAAAAATTCCTTTATTTCGTCGTTATAGAAACTAATGTACATGATGGAAATGCAGGAAATTCAACAAGAGATAATCAAATGCAAGTGCCAACTTGAGGATATGGGAAAAAAACTCAGGTACATACCTCACTTATCTTCTCCTTGTTGCAAATCTACAGAGGCGTAGCTAGAAAATTTTTTCACCCGCGGCTAGAATTGTGCGACTATTATTTGAATATAGTGGTTCGCTAACATAGTTTGATTTGACTTGTGCATGCTCAAGCTCGACTTGCTTATATATTTAAACGATCCAAACTCAAACATCTAATCGAGCTTCTCTATCAAGCAAATCGAGTCGAACGTCTTCGTAATCAACTCAATTAGAATTTTGGATTTTGGTCTAATTTTTGTGTTTGACTAAATGAGTTAAACCAAGTTTATACAAGTTGAGCTCGAGCTCACATTTTTGTTTGTTTATTTATTTAACAAGTTGAGATACACCAGCATGTTTATTTAATAAGCACGATTTTTCACTGAAGTACTCCACTAAAATTATCTAGTTCGATGCATGTATAAAGAAGTCAAGTTATGAAAATAATTTTTAAATATTTAATATATATTACACGAATCCCATAGTAAATAATATTAAATATTAATGTTGTATTTGTAAAATAAAAATATCAATTAGTATATATTCTAGTTTTGTTTTATCAGTAGATGACCCTAGCTAACATATTTAAATTATTAACTACTCTCTTATACGTAGGGGAATTTGAGTTGGTGTAACTAAAAGAATGTGTTTGTAAGCTCTCTTATACATATATAAATGATTATTTGTAAATGAAATTTTGGTGTGGGGGAATTTGAGTTAGTGTAACTCAAAGAATGTAGGATTTGTAATTGTTCTAACTTTGATGAATGTTTGGACAAGCGAAACGAGCTATAATCATGAAGTTTGCATGCTAGAACTCTAGAAAGGATCATTGGGGACGAGTAAGAAAAAATAAAAAACAAGTCCGAGTTCGGACGATCGTGTACGAACTTCCAGCGCGCAGGTGAGTGTTTGGCCCAATCGTGGGCGGGAGGCTGGGATCACCCCTCCAATTTGATTCGACAAGCACGCGACCTGGATGCATGTGCTCGTTCTGAAAAAATTATACTGGACGACCAGGCACATCTCGGAAGGTGTGTTGGTGTCTTAAACCCATGGAGATGTGTAAAAACATCTTTAAAACACACATGGAGTGTAAAAAAAAAAAAAGAAAGAATAAATTTAAAGAGCTCTTTGCATCTTTTTACAAAGTTCATAAAATCATCTTGTGTTACCTATGTTTATTATGTCTTGAGAGGTCCGAAACTTGAGTATTGTTCGCTGAAGGTTTGAATATTGAATTATTTCTATACACAATTAAAAGTCATTGTATCTTGTAGTCGTGAACCGTTGGTAATACATAAGGCTCTTTCGTCTTAAGGAGCATATCTTACGTGCCTTGATTTGACTCGTTTTAGCATTTTTCTTCTAGACACATAGAAATAACAAAACCCAAGCTGAGACTTATATTCATTTATTAAACGAGCACAAACTCAAACAAGAGTTACTCCTCTCGGATTGAATGACATTCAAAATCAATTTAGTCATGACATACTAATGTGATTATTGTTGAATTTTATTTTGATTTTTATATTTTATTGCACCATGTAACAATATTAGAAAATTATTATTAAGATATATTTATACATGACAGAAACATTGTCAAAAGACATTAATGAAAGTGAAATTCTTAGCAACTAGCAACTGTAATCTATACATACATTTGAGTTTTAAAAATATAAATTCAAAAGCAAGAAAATGAGATAATAAAAGTAAACATACAATAAAATAACCATAATAAGAAATAAATAAAATAAAAAATCACATTAAATATTTTTTTATGAAGAACGTGTTATACAAGTTATCAAGTTGAATGAGTAAAATAATTGAATATGTGTATAGTTGTGTACATCAAGTCCTATACAAAAAAAAGTTATACCGTCACGCAAGTCCAGCAAAATCTCACCAATTTGATGAGACTTCCACTAAGAATTTGTCTTTGTAATTTTATTAAAAAAAATTTAAAAGTCCATTAATTGTTCTTTAAAAAAAATTATAAAGTTTTCATAATTAGAATACACTGTGACTTAGACTTTTAGAAAGTTTCAATTGAATATCTTGAGACTTTTAATGATTAATAAAAAGCCTTTAAAAGTTTTACTTGAATACCAACTTTTGGTCCAACGATGTCTCGTTTTAGTCTCCTTTATGGAGTTAGTGTCTCTGTCATGGAGTTTTGTTTTATGAGTGTTCGTCTCCTAGATGAAGCTTGTACCCCTTGTGTGTCCTTATAAGGGGTTGGTCTAGACTGGTGAAAGTCGTGTCAATTGACACTTGATTGTACTCTTTTGTGTTTTTATATGATTAATATATTTTCCGTTTGAAAAAAAAAAATACCAATTAACTTTCTAAAAGTCACAAAAAATTTCAATTGAGTACACCTGACTTTTAAAAGTCTTGAAAATCTTTAAAAATTGCAACTGAATACACCTTCCTTAATTTTTGTTTGGTGAAAATACTAAAATGTATATGTGTAGGATTTATGAAGGTAATCCATCTGAAATCACATCATTACCTGAAGTTGAGTACAGAGAACAAATTCTTGAGGAAACCCTGAAGCAGGTCAGGCTGCGGAAAGTGAGTCTCGTCATCTCAGAATCTTGTTTTAAATTTTAATAAAATAAATTTGTCTATTGCTCTTACTAATTTATCTCTGGTTATTTTTTTCATTTAACAGCATGCCCTACAAAGCCAGTATAATTTTAATATTGTACGACCTTCACAGGTTCGCTTCTTAACAAAATTGAATTTCTTCCCATCTCATTTTATTTTATTGCACTTCGAAGAAATTAAAAAGTAATTATATTAAATCTACTAACATTTTTTTTTTCCACTTTGATTTGTATTTTGTTTTATTTTATAGCAATTGAATCAAGTTAAAAAAAAATCAAGTCCTATTAAAATAACGATTGTATAGTTCCCTAAATAGTATATGTTAATGAATGAATAATTTATTAGAATTTAAGGACTTGGGTATAAATATAATAAGTTTAGTTAGATTTTGATTTGAACTTTATTCCTTCAAGTATATAACAACTTATAGAACTTATCGTTTTAATACTCAATAGGTTCTACAAGGTTTGAGGCCAATATATTTCCGGCGAAAAGAAAGAACAAGTGTACTTTCAACAGGAGTATGGAAGACATATATGCATAACTTTAATGATCATTAATTTGTTTGTTGTACTAATTAATTCAGGTGAATTTGACATCACCGAATATAGATGTAAACGTTTTGACCACAAGTGATCATCATCCGGACAATGTGCTGGAGTGGATTCCAGCTAGAGATCCACAAGTCCAAATCCTCAACTTCTTGGGTTCAAATGGCCTTCTTCCATTGAGGTGTATATATATAACATATATATTAAGTCATCTACATATGCAAAATTTCAATTTTTGTCCGTTTACTTGTCTAAATTTCTTTTTTGGTACACTGACTTTTCCCTCATCAATAATAATACGTTATGTTGCAATTAGTATCACTATTGAGACATTATCGCGAAAATGGTTCATTATTTTTTAGGATTAATGTCGTAAAAATGATACAAATTGCAACATAATGTATTGTTTTTGATGAGTAATGTCCCAAAAATGACACAATCGCAACATAACGTATTATTATTGATGAAGAGAAAGTTAGTGTACCAAAAAAGGACTTTAAACAAGTAAACGGATCAAAATTGAAATTAACGCCATCTACATACATACACATGAGCGCGTGCACAATTTCATGTTTCACACTTGTATGTTTGTGTATGTGTGTGTATAGGGATCACCAAGCTCAGCACGTGGATGACATGCTCTCACCATCTCTAACCCTTTTTCATGCCCCAAGCTTGAATGTTTATGATCATTTGAGTCTGAATACAAGTATGGAAGATGATACACAACGCTCAGTCGATGTCAATCTTTCGCCATGGACTCATCAATTATATTCAACAGGTTTGTCGTTAAGTTGATTGATCATTATATCTATGTTCGACGAATTTATTGTAGAATTTTTGGTTGGGAGATTGTGTTCGGATCCAAGGCTTTTATTCCGTTTTGAATTTTGGATGTATTTCACTTTCAGTTTGAAATTTTAACAAAGTGTACTTAGATTTTGTTTCTTTATTATTAATTCTCACAAAATAAAAAAATTGAGATGACCGTCTTGATAATTGATGGTAGTTAATATAAGTATTATGAAGTTCAATTAAGATCTAAATATTTTGTTTGGAAAACAAGGTATATATATATATAGTGCGCTTAAATTAGAATGAAGAAATAAGAATGATCATGAACCATTAGATCTGTCCTATTAGTAGTTATGATCAAGTCAAACTTTATTAATGTTAGTCAAACATATGATGGCATTATAGTAAATACTTTGAACTTTTGTGGTCTAATATGTACAATTGACCACAAATTAAGGTATAATGGTCATCACAAAAAATTACAACTCGAAGTGGACCCCACATCATCTCTCACACACTTAAACACACGCTAATATCGGCACCCATGCACGCCTTTTACACAGACACACAGTCCACACACACAAACACACACTAGATCCGGCCACTATGACTCCCGTCGGCGATCGACGGCCGCCGCCCCGCCATCAACTTTCCTCCTCCGCCTACCGCCATCAACCTTCCTCCTCCACCTACCGCCATCAATTTACTCACGGCCACTGTCCGGCGCCAACTGCCACCCTCCGCCAACCGCCGCCACCACCGACGCTGCCGTAATCTCCACCATTTTTCGTCGCCCATCACTCTCGCGTCATATATATGTATGTATATCTATAATCTATCCCTCTCAGTATGTCTGCTCGTTTTAAATTTCTGTTTCAGAGAAGGCCGCCGCCGGCCTCCCTTCTCCGGCGAACTGAAACCAGGCTCCGGACGACATTTACAATCTGATACGAGTTTTCCGTTTGCTGTCGGGTTCCCGTCATTCCTCGGTGACAACGTCGAGGTAATAATTTCAAAAACCTAAATCACAGATCCACATAATTGCTAGTCTCAATCAAATTGGCGACGTGATTAGGCTTCAGGCAGCGCCGCCGAGATCAATCCGGTGTCACCGAAGGTGGCGGACCTGAGCTCTACCGGCAGGTTGGGATAAACGACAAGGATGGAGTGGTGATGTGATTAGGGACTTAATATTAAGAATTGGACATGAATCAGGGACTAATGTGCAAATTAGGATAATATAACTATATTGCAATTGAGTTCTTATGTTAATTTCGTAATTTATTGAAAATTAGTCATTGCACAATATTGATAAGTAATTTGCACGGTATAAATACGAAATTATTAAAAACTTAATAGAAACACAATATTGACAAATAAATTTTCAAAAACAAAACTGATATTGAATTAAAATAAGCGAATGTTTAAAGGTAGAAATAAATAATCGAACTGATATATAAAGATTTGAATATAAAATTTTAGTTCGATTAGTTTTGTTCGCTCATGTGTAGTTAGACAAATATTAATGTGCAACTCGTCTAACACTATTGTGCATCGTTTTGACCGCTATTGTGCAGTCTGAATCGACTGAACTTTTTGTCTTAGACCAAATTGGACACGAACTGAATTATTGTTTTATTCGGATGGTTAGCAGGATTATTCTAATTATTAAAAATAAATTATTTTTTTATTTTAAAACATAATTAATATTTTAATATTTAATACTTCTTATATCTTGTTCGTTGAAAAATAAATAACATTTTTATATAAAAAATATGTAAATATTAATGTGCAATCTGATAGTTGTTAATGTGCAACTCGTGTGACGATATTGTGCACTCAGAGTGCATCCTGAATTAGTTTAACTATTGTCTTGAACCAAATAAAAATTAAATCGATATATTTAGTTTATTCGGCTGGTTAACTGAATTATTTAGTTTATTTGGTTGGTTGAACGAATCAACTAAAATATTCAGAATAAAATATTATTTAGTACATTAAAATATATTTAGTTGATATATTAAAATATATCAACTAAAATATATTAAAATATATTTAATATAAAAAAAATATAAATATATATATAAAATAAAAATGCACATTAATTCTTGTGAAAGAATGTATAACTATGTAACAATATGCTTTTGATTTTTCCTGAGTGGCCGTTGCGCACCATGTTACAATTTTGTGCATTCCTACATACATTAATGTGCATTTAGTATAACACCATTGTATAGTATTCCGATCGGGTATTTTTACTGCGTTTCATTTTATAGAAAACTTGGATAATGTATAATTAATTAACATTATTATGCATTTATCAAATTATTTATAATTTTTATTTAATATTTATATTATTTTTTTGTTCAATATAAATAACATACATATGTATATATAAATAAAATGAGAATGAATATTCTGCAGTGTAATTTTTTTTAAAGTGCTTATCCGTTCACAATATTGTGCAGCTTACTAATCAATAATGTGCACTTATTATATATATATTATATATTTTTTTTTAACAAATTACAGTTTTTGACATTAATTAAATGGCATTATATTTTAAATTTTTAAATTTACAAGTAGGTCCCTATAATATATCTAATTCTCATTAAACAAACCCTAGCCCCAAATTAGTCCAGCACCTTCCACCACCACACACCCGCCATCTCTCCACCCACCACGTCACCATAGCCGCGGCCACCGGTGTCAGCCGCGCAAGGTCGGGGGATGGGAACGACCCACCCGCACAGTGGATCGTCGAGACAATGAACCCTGCCCCGCGACGACAGGTCGCACACAGTGGATCTGCGACGCGGCGGCGATAGCATGTGTTTTCAAGCGGCGGCGAATGGTTTCAAGCGGAGAGGATGTCAGACATCGTGAGTTTAACAGAGGAGAACCAGCGCTCCACCACATCCGGAGCGTGGCTGTACCTGGGCTACGTGCAGCGGCGAGAATCGTGGCGACGATGCCGGTGATGGTCAGGCGGCGATGCTGGCGAGACTCAGGCGACTGTGAGGTGCCAGCGAGAGTCGGGGCGGCGATGGAGCCATGGCAGAGCTGCGGCAGTGAGCGGCGGTCGAAGGTCCGTCAGGTCTGTGTGCTTGCGACATTTATTTGTGTGTGTGTGTGTGTGTGAGAGAGAGAGAGAGAGAGAGAGAGAGAGGAAGGAAGACAGAGAGAGAGAGGCGTGGAACAGGGGATTAGAATGTGTTCTGTTTGATTTTTAGAGGGGCTCACAGGATATTAATTGTTTGTGTATGTTGTAATTACCACATTACCCTTAATGAGAGTAAAAAATAGCATTTTTTTGAGCCATTGGATCATATGATCTAATGGTTATAATTTATTCCTATTCCTTTCGCTGGGTACCATTCTCACCGGAGCGCATCCCCATATATATATATATATATATATATATATATAATAAATAAAAGGGGTGAAGTGATTGGCTTATGTATTTGAAGGTGGATGTCTCTTAATTTTCACAATTCCACAGGCACTTTACATGTATTTATAGGGATGTTCAGTCGGTTCTAACCCATATATAAAGAAGCTTCTTGACTTTTTATCATTTCAATTTACTAATTATTCTTGCCACTAGAACTCTCTAGATTTTCTCCAGTAATAAGAATACTAATAAAGTTATTTTATGCAACACTCCCCCATCATATGCTCATTTGGATAATACTGAGCTTATCGCGTAGTGCCTCGATTCTTGGTCTCGGTAGAGCTTTCGTAAAAATATCCGCTAGTTGATCTTCAGTGGCGACATACTTGAGCTATATGCTTGACATTAGTTGCTTCAATTAGAAATGATATAGGGCAGAACATGGAGGTCTGCGTTGACGACATGCATGTAAAAAGTAAAAAGGCGCACGACCATGTGACGGATCTGAGGGAGGCCTTCAGTACAATGCGACGATATGGTATGAAGTTCAACCCGACAAAATGTAAATTTGGGGTAAGGTTAGGGAAATTCTTGGGGTACCTGGTAACGGAGAGACAGGGGCGGATCTAGCAAATTGAGTGATATGGGGCCAAATTTTTGTGGTAATTGAAAAAACGAAAAAAGAAAAAATGGCACAAGATATGATATACAAAATTACCATTACATACAAATTTTATTTTTTTTAAATAATTCAAAATGAAACATTAAAAAACTCTACAGTTTGTATATTTCAGTATTATTATCCATTTCAGTGACTTAATATGTGTTATTTCAATAGAAAATTATTCATCTACCAACTGTAGATACATTAAGTTGTATGTCAGTCTTTTAATATAATGTATGTCAATTTTTTAATATATTAATACTCATAGTGTAGGAGAGCGATAATACTTTTCAATATGTTGGATCAATGAATTTATTATGATTCCATCTCTTAATTGATAAATTTATTATAATTATATGGTAGCGTACAAAGTCATGATAAATTTATTTAAAGATACAACAGATAATAAGACGTTGCAATAAGAAAATTTTACAAAGAGAAAAGGAGGAAAAAAAACCTAATTAATAAACAACTTCATTTATAGATTATTTTTGTATAATTACTTAATTTACATTTATTTTCTTAAAAATATAAAATTCCAGGTGGGGGCTTTGGATCCGCCCCTGCGGAGACAGGTATAGAAGTGAACACTGAGATGGTGCGAGCTGCCATCGAGATGCAAGCACCGAGGAATCTAAAGGAAGTGCAGGTTCTTACGGAGCGCTTAGCTTGATTGAGTAGGTTTGTAGCTCAGGTGGCAGAGAAAAGATTTCCATTCTTTCGCGCCTTAAAGAAGGGATCTCATTTCGAGTGGACACCATAGGCGCAACATGAGTTTGAAAGGATGACGGAATTTCTAGCCGAGCTACTTTTACTTACGAAGCCGAAATCCAGAGACACGTTGGTGGCGTACCTTTTGGTAGGACAAGAGGCCATCAGTTCGGTGTTGATAAAGGAGGAGCATGGCCAGCAGAAGCCGGTATATTACGCCAGTCGGATACTGAA